ATACCATGACTCCACAACATTTTCATCCTAAGAAAACACAAAGGGGCTCTGAAAAGCAGTTGAAGTTGGGTAACAAGCTTCTGCAATCCTGGCCTGCAGGTTTCAGGTGTGGGACATCTATGACTCCCCAAGCATGATGGACATTTGCTGCGTTTCCAAAACTCTTGTGCGATTTTGCCTTAAACCACTGATAATCCAGAGGGTGGTTATTTCTTTTAACACCCATTTTGTTGAAGTGTTTTGGTTTCCCCCTAGGGCAGGAATGTTCCCCAGCCATCATTTAAAGATTACCATAAAATGAGTGTCTTGCTTGATGGCCAGTGCTGGTAAAAGTCAAGTGATGCTTGTTTTGAGCTAGATGCTCTGTCGCAGTTTTACTGAGATCCATGTACTTTATGTGGTTTTATCTAGATTTTCTTTTCTTTTGAGAGGAGCAGGAAATTATTTGATGAAATCACTATTAAAATTAAATCAAACTTATTTTTTTAAAAAAGAAAATACTTTAAAGCAACAGTGTCCAGAATCTGATACCTGTGTCATGGTTGTACTTTCAGAGTGTTTGAAACAGCTCTAATTTCATCACAAGGGCGGGACTTGTACTCTGCCACCCCCCAAATTAAGTACATTCACAAAGGAAAAATATGCTATCAGGTGTAAAAAATTTCATGTCTGAATTCAGTCAGTGGGCTTCTCCTTTCTGGCTAAACCATTCCTGACTAGTCTGGAAGAAGAAACTCCCCAGTTATGGAATAACTTTGTGCTTTGTAAAAAAAAAACAAAAACAACAAAAAAAAAAAACTTCACTGGTGGTTAAGTGCTGGCTTGTGGCTTGAAGCTTTTGTTGTTGTTCTGGTGTCAGTGAAGAAAGAGTTAATTAAACAAAAATGAGTCCGAAGGCGATGATGAAACTATATATGGACTTGGAAGCCAGGTTAAGGTGTTTTGAAAGCAGAGGGTATCTCTGAGAATTATGGTTCCACCCAAAACTATCCAAAACAAATGTGGTTTGGGTAAATCCAGGCAGATGGCATCTGCCAGCTCACATTTGAAGATCTTATCCAACTTCAGTTGCAGGTGAATATGCAAAATTGCATCCTCTTACTTAGCAGAGAAGTCTGTATATGTGCTTAGTGCGTTATGTCGTCAGTAAATTATTTTAATAGCAAATAAGGCTTTATTACTTTTGCTCTTGCTTTATTGCATTTGCTGCTCTACATTCAATATGTACAGCATTGGCACAATATAGCTTGCATGCTAGCTAGTGCATTAGCAGAAGAAATGGTAACTGTTCCAAGACCATAATACTTTGATAGTGGTACCGTTAAAGCCAGGAGAAAAAAAACCCCCAAAACCCAACAGTTGTTGCATTTCAGGCTGTTGTACAAAGCTAGGAAATAATAGCTTATAAATGAAGCAAATTTAGTTCTGGAAGGTACCAAGATGAAACAAAACTAATATGGTTTCCAAAGTACCATGATTTTTTTGGAGTCAGCTTTCAGGTTAGAACAGAACTGTGAACAATTCAAGATAGCAATATAAATTAAAAAAAAGGATGATAATAAAGAATGTAAAAGATACTTGGCATAGTATTTTAATACGGAGGATGCTGATTAAATTAACTCTGCACATAGGCTTAGGCAACACTGAAAAAAATTCCACTCCTTGCTCCACAATTAAATATCGAACAGTACACTGAAATAACGTGGAATTAGAAAATTATTTGAGATAAATTTCATGTGGATTAATGTTATTTTGATAAATGTGTTGAGTAAACTGCTCACTGTAGTAATCCGATTTGCCTACGTATATAACTGTCTAATAGAAGGAATTTATGCATGGTGCTAGAGAGCATTGCATGCTATAACTGCAGTGCTATTAGAAGAGTCTTGAAGAGACGAGCATCACATGGAGCGGAACAGAGATTTGTATAAATGCCAAAAGAAAAAAATACAGAATTTAGTTTGAAATCAATCTTTCACCTGCCAAATTAATCTTAATATTATGCACATTGCCTAAAAGTTGCTGTAGAACCTAAGGAAGATCTTGTACGCATGGATGTGCCATTTTTTCCATTGACATCAACTGCGGTAGGACACCAGCTCTCCCTGTGAACCTGGCCTGGTTTGCTGCAGAGTACAGAATCACTTGTCCAGGTTTTCACACTCTCTGGTGGAGGTGAACTGGGAACAACTGGGCCAGCTTGTTGAAGTTGCTTTGGATTTGCATGCTACTGCCTCACAGTACATAAACGTCACATGAAAAGTCCTCGGACTTAAGATTCGCTTGCAATTTTCTCCTCAAATGGCAACTTTTTTATAGCCCATATAAACTTTGCGTGGCATCACCCAAGATGTGCAGATGGTATGTACCGCTACCAGGCTACCTCCGGCTGAGGGTGCCTCAGAAGAGGCATGGCAGAGTACTGATTGAGTGTTATTCTCACAACACAAACTTGGGAGTCAACTAGGAGAGAGGTTTTTGTGTAAATAGGCTGAAAATCCAGCAAAACCTATTTAATTTTGTTACCGGAGAGCTGATAGCAAAGAACTAGTAATCTATTGCCAGTGACCCAGCCATTAAATGCATCTCTGATAGAAGGGGTCCCTATATGCTAGCATAAATGAAAACCAGCTCCATCTTCTCCATCTGTGTTGGTTTTCCTTTCCTGCTCAGCAAGCCTTTTGCACAAGAACGCAATGAGGCTCCATGTGCTTAGTCTCGGCTTTCTTGCCCTTCCCTAGATTTGGACCTGATGGGAAAATAGAGCAAAATAGTCTTGTTTGGTGCATTACACTGAGCTGAGCACATAGCTGTCTAGCGTAACGTGCCCTTTTCTGTTTCTTTTGGCATCGTGAATCCAATCGATGCTCCATGTGAAGGAGAAGATGTGATTTGTGTAAGGTTGGTAGGGAAGTGCAGGGCTGCTCTTCCATCTCAGACTCCTCCACTGCTCCGCAAGTGCAGGCAGCATTTCTGAAGGTGAGGTTGAGGAAACAGTACCATGACACAGGGGGGTTGGAGAGGAACTTCCCTGGGCACATCTGGAAAATGAGGATGAAGAGAGCTGCATGTTTCGGGAAGTCTTGAGCCTGTGCAGGTAGATGGATCCCTGGTAGGAGAATTGTTTGCAGGCTGACTGCTGAAACCATCAGTCTCTGTGTTTGTACCTGTTTTTTCTTGTCATCTTCCATCCTCTACCACTCTTAGGGAAATGGACAGGCCAAGCACTGCTAAAATTCTCTTAAAATTGAATCACATTTGGTATACGTTCCTTCTTGTCTGACATATTGTCCAAAATATCAAGTGTTTTTATTTGCTGTTTCTGTTGGAAAAAACCAAAAAAATTCCTATCTCAGAAGTTTGTAACTCCATGCCTTCCCTCCCTTTCACTGTTGGCACACTTCAAAGTTGTGAAAACTTGTTTTCCAAGTAATTAACAATAAAGAAACTCTGGAAGTGTGATGTCAAGCTGAATACAGAAAAAGGTGAAACTTATGTCCTGATTAGTAATAGCTTCTGAGTGGGTTTCCTATCAGTGCACTGCAGATGTGTTGCATTATTTTGAACTAATTTTTCCAACTTTATTCATCAATAAGACCAATATTTTTCATAGTTGTCACGTATGAAAAAGTGGGTATTTTATTTTTTTTCCTTTTTTTAGTTTTTAAAAGCTTGATACATGTAGCGTTGGATCAAGGCACATACAAGACTGGCCAAAGGGCGTACAAAGCACTTTGGTTTTTAGTTGAAGAAACAAATGATTATGGCAACAAAGAGTGGTTTGGGGTTTAAACATTAAATAGCTGATGGTTCAGTAGGAAGGCAGAAAGAAACATGTTACCTTACAGATTTTTCAATGAATTTCTAGAAAACTGTGACAGTAATGGGCAGTATTCCTGACTGTAATGGCAGTATATCAAACACATACCTCTGTACTGTTGGAGTATATGCTTTAAAATAGCTGTGTTCCCCAATTGTTTGTTTACCTTTGTGACCAAAGTTTTTGAGACCTTGCTTATATTGCCTGGGTTTTTTGTCCTGCTCTTTTCCTTACGACACTGCACTTTCAACCCTTTTTCTATTCAAAGCAGTTTCTAAGTGTTGTCTCTGTCCTCCTGCCCTTGCCTCTCAAATGCCTGTGACCATCCATCACGGTTTTCTCTGTAATAAGCAGACTGCTGGCTTTGATATCCAGAAATCTTGACCCTAAACCATATCTACCCCCTTGGTTTGTAGAGCCTAGCATGTGTTTCTAAATTCCTTGTTAGGAATTTGATTATGCTTTCTTCCAGGGATCAACTTTTTTTTTCTTACACATGTCAACCGCTTCAGTCTCATGCATGTCATTGATTTGATTATTTTCATTTAAATTGGATTTCACCATTGTTGAATGGATATATCCAGACAGCTGATATTGCCCATTACTACACGCATTTTTGTTTATTGAATATTGTTGTGGTTTACAGATTTAATAGACCCAACATTGAAAGTTCGGTGAGTTTTTGCAACCACTTCTTGATCTTCCTGATTTTCCAGGTTCAACATTATTTTATTGATACCAAAGTGAAAAATGGCCTGTGCTTACACTTACAAGGATCTCAGATGAATGTTCTGACTGCTCAACACGGCAAGAAAATTCACTTTCACAGTCAACAAGTCATCTTACTCAGTAGAACACAAAAGTTAAATGGTCTGTAACTTCAATATTAGCAAGGAAAATACAGTACAAATTACTAAAAAATACTAAAATATAGAATTGTGGTCAGGTATCCCCACTACATTAATCGCAGCAGTAGCCTGAAATTTGAAACTTTTAATAAAAAGTTCTTAAATATAAATTATATGGCAAATGTACAGTACATTGCTTTGTCAGTCTTTTAATCCAGTGTTTTGCAGTAGAACAGCAACCGTTAAGTCAGTCTTTTCTTGTTTTCTTTAAAAAACAAAACAAAACCAAAAAACCCAACAAAACCCAAACCAGTCTTTCGAGTCCTTCAGTATCATGAGTGTGAATGATCTGAATCTGGAATACCACTGTCTCTGTAGCTCCTGTTACTACTGCTTTCACTGTGGCTGTTCTTGTACAGATTCATGCCGTTAGGTGGGAAAATGGTGTGTATTACAAATTCCTCCTTGGACACTTGGTCATTGGTTATTGGTATCATCTGGAAAGAAGTCTCCCTGATTTCTAGGATGGAGTTATCCTTCTTAGTTCCAGCTTCGGCGTAGTCATCTTTTCTCCGGCGTCCCTTGCTGTAGGTGCAGTTCCGGGAGAACAGGGACCCGTTTCTGTGGACGTACCAGCAGACCAGGGCCAACAGCGCTATGGCCACCAGCGCCACCGCACCGCCAATGATGGCGGCCAAGGGCAAGCTGGAGTTTTTGTAAGGTTCTTTCTCCTGCTCCCGGTTGAGGGTCGTGGTAGGGTTGTACATCTTAAGAGGTGCCGTCTCTGTCTCGATGCATTCGGGTGTTTCGTCGGAGAGATAGATGTTGCTGGTTTCCATGGGAACCATGCATACACGGTATGGCGATTCTGGTTCGAGAGCCGTGAGCAAATAGTCGTTTCTGTCGCCTGTAACTATCGTTTCAGTTATAGATCCAAAGGCAGGGCTGTGACCCATCTTGAGCCAGCTCAGTCTTAAAGCAGTCATTGGTAGTGCAACTTTCCAGGAGATGTGAATAGTCTCCGTGCTTACGGATTTCACAAATATTGTAATGATTTTGCGTACCGGGCTTGCTGTAGTTCTGTAGTTTTTATTTAGGTTGGGAGTCTTGATGTCTGGTTGTTTGGTCACAGAAACCGGCCAGTGTCCCTGGGCCGGGTATAACGTGTTTGGTACCGCTGTAGTGATTTGGATGGTGCTTATAATGCCATCATCCTTACAATCAAATAGGTCCGCGTTGAGGTCTTTGATAGCCATTCCACGTACTTTTTCTGGTGCCTGACACATCAGTCCACGTACGTTAACTCTTAAAGGCAATGACTGTAACCAGTCGCGTACCCATTTCATTTTGCACCCACAGTGCCAAGGGTTGTTGCGAAGAAACAGTTGAGTTATGTTGTCCAGATCATCAAAGACACCCTGAGGTAAATTGCTAAGATTGTTATTGGACATATCTAGTCGATACAACTGCCTTAGATAAGAGAAAGCATTGGGTGGCACATGGTTGATGTGGTTTTCCTGAAGATAAAGCCTTCTTAGGTTTGTTCCCGGCAAATTTACCGGTGCGGCTGTGAGTGAATTGCGGACCAATGACAGTTCTGTAAGATTGACTAGATTCTTGAAGACTTTGTCTCCTAATCCATGATTATTTAGAAGATTTCCGTCTAAAACAAGGCGTTTCAGATTTGTAAGATCTTGAAGGGACAGCTCTGAAATCGTGGAAATGCGATTATCATCCAAGCGTAGCTCTTCTATCGTTTTAGGCAAACCCCAGGGAATGGTGCTAAGGTGGTTTCGAGAGAGAAAAAGAAGTCTGAGATAAATGTTGTCCCGGAAAGCTCCATCCTCGATGCTAACAGCGGAAACAGAATTATCATCCAAATGCAGTTCTTCCAGATAAGGAATTTGTGAAAGTGAATCATAAGTAATGGTCCTTATATTATTCTCCTGCAAATGCAGTTCCTTAACGTACTTGGGGAGGTTAGTGGGGAATTCATCTAGGCTGTTGTGGTATAAATATATTCTTTCCACCCTAAGCAAGTTCTTCAGTTCTGAAGGAATCCCAGCATTATTTATTTGATTGTTCTGAAGGAAGAGGGTAGTAGCATCCTCTGGGATTCCTGTAGGAATAGACGTCAAATCGCGATCATTACAATATATGAAACCCACATCACAGCGACATACTGAAGGGCATGGTTTGGCACTATCAGAATAAGGTGCCATGTCAAGTAACAGCCCTATTTTAGTCCAAACTAGGAAGATGGTCCAGGTTACACTAATCATGGTCAGGAATGATGAGATTTGTATACAGTTCTGATCTTCAACAATCTAAAAAAACCAAACAAACAAAATTATCCAGATCATCAGTGAAGAAACTGCAATGAAAATTCAACTTCAACATTACCAAAGACATCTGAAACACGCATATTAAACTAAAATTCAAGCTCGTGGACACATTTTACTTTCTTTTCCTTGCATCAATAATTGTACTATTACTTGTACTAATTCAATTAAGTTAATAGATTATTCTGCATAGTAATTGAAAATAATATAATCAAGTATGTCTGATCTGTGAGTTGTTTTGCTTAAGCAAGAAGGCTTTTTCTTAAGGATTCCTTCACATTTCATGTGTAGAGACAATCTTTGTTTGCAGATACCAGGTAAGTACAGAGCTGAAGTCACACCAGAGTTCAAGTAAATCATTCTGTATCTGAAAGATAAGAAGTAACTCCTAAGCCAGCTAACTACCCAGAAGCCCTTAAATGAACTATATTACTCTTAACCAAACCTACAAGGTTAGTGTTAGCTATTTTTGAGGTTCAAAAAAGTCCTGAAGGCAAAGCATAAAATGCAGACAAAAGAGCGAGGGCCAGCTAAAGACTTTTTTCCGAGGTTTTCAGACTGCTCAACATTGTGTTGTGTGTCATACAAAAGCTGCAGCCTACTTTTCTTGGGTTTTGAACAGGAATGTTTAATGTTTAGAGAGGTGAACGTTACAATCGGTAGGTAGCGAACAACCTGACGTAGCTGGTAGAGCTGCGGCTTTCTAGTTGACTGGATGGAATATTTCATTACATGCTTAATTTCATGTTTAAATATTTGTCATTCTCAGAGTCTTCTTACTAAGCAGTACACTAATAAGAGCCTATTTGGCAGGTTTAACCACATTTTCCCATCTTATTAGTTCAAACTGTGCAGGGCAGGATGATATAAATTAACTCTTGAGACTGAAATTGTACTTTGCATTGGTAGTGTGTTTGTACATTGAGCTCAGGTAATTAGCATTTTTATAGCTTTTAAGACAACATAATTCAATTACCATTGTAATTAGGGTTGTGAGAACTTCTGCAAGACCTATGTGTTAAGCGGTGTCATGACCTTTTCTCTTGTGGGTTCATATATTAATTGAACTTTATTCTCTGAGGCACAAAAAGGAAAATAAATTAATATTGATCCTACCGTATTTAAAGGTATGAGTAAATTTTGTGCTTGAGGATATCCAGTAAAGGAATGTCTTTTCTCACGAGTCACTCTTACAGTTTACTCCATGGAGTTGTGTTTTTTCTCGGCGGTGTTTACTCAGACGGTCCTTCTCGGTGGTGCGTGTTTCCTGGCACGGCACTCAATGAGCATTCCAACCAAGATTTATCATGGTACATAAGCACACCAGGCCAGGGCGTAGAAAAGCTTCAGCTTCCCTCTATTTTTGTCCTCGTGTAAAGTCTGTGAATGAAGAGCCTCTTTTGTTTGGTTTAATGCCTTTAGCAGGAATTACTTTCTTTGTAACTCTTAGAAACTCTTCTGTGCAGCGTAGTAGTCAGAGGTGGTAACTTCAGCGCCGCATGATGGAAACTATTCATTATGCTGAGGCTTGAAGGATGGTAGCCTCTTCGGGAAGTCAGGAACGGGGCTGCCTTTTCCCGTCCAGAAGTATCCAAGTATAAACTTTGTACAGTAGCTACATCCCAATACATCCACGCCTCTTGGAGAGAACCATTTTCCGACTCTCACTTTCTAATGCTTCTTCAAATTTGTAATGCAGGAAAGAATTCCTCCTGCGCTGCAAGAACACGAGGTACTCTACCGTAGAAACGTTAGGCAATTCAGGTGGTTTTCTTCATCAAAAAAACCCCATAAAAATATGATTTCCTTCCCAGAAAACTCCCCTTTTAAAGCTTTCCTCGAACTCTTAAATTTCCTGTGAAAGAAAAAACAAACAGAAAAAAATTGGAATAAATAACAACTGGTAGACACTAGTAGTGACAGTTGTGTTGCATCCCCTATATAAATCATGCTATGCTTATTGTATACATGACGAGCACATCTTGTTTTCCCAAAATACTGGTATTTCAGCAAAGTAGAGCTAAGAACATGTTTTGCTGTTTAGTCTCATGTTGCTGCAGTTTTGCTAGAACTATCTTTTCCTTTCTTCCAACAGAAAATAAAATTATCCCGAATTAATAGACAGTATTTGTAAGTGATATTTCCCACCTGAGGCCAAAATGGTTGCTTGCTTTGTGTTCTTGGCAAATTGAGGTGGAAGATGATCCTATCCTTGGTTTTAAATGTAAAAGGAGCTAATTACCATTCAGTATTTATTGGATGAAAGGGGAAATGTTTTTGCTAAAATACTGTATTAATATTTCACATTTGCAACATGCTAATTTTGAACTAGGGAATAGCTAGGCATCTGTATCAACTCTTCTGACAACAGAGATACACAGGAGAGTTTTGTCCATGAAATGCACTCAATAGGCTAAAGTGGTCTGAACTTTTAAGCCATTGTATTGGTCATTTTGCACAGGCGAATCTGTGCTTAGATTGGCATTTCATCTGATTTTTCTAATTAAAAAAAAAAAACCACAAAAAAAAACCCCAAACCAAAACCCCACCCCATTCTTAATCTTGGCTGTTGCCGCTTCTTGGAAGAACTTGAATTCTTTGGTTATTTTTGAATGGTATATTCAGAAATACACCCTGGCTACTTCGTATCACTATTGCAGAAAGTATTGGGTGAGATACCAGGTCTGTTCCCTGAGAGCATGTAGGTACTATGTCTGAAACAGAAATGGTTAAATCTGAAACTAAAAAATTCTTAAACATTTACTTGCTTCTCCTGTTTGTGATCGCATGTTGTCTGGTGAACTGAGCACAATCCCCAGCACTGGCACGCTGGGAAGAAGCGTCTTGCTGAGCAGTGCTTGCTTAGCTCCCTTCCTATGAGCTTAACTAGAGCAGCTTCTGGTCCTTCCTAAAATATTAGACCTAAACAGAAACAGGCTCCGTTTTAAAATTCTGTCTTTTGCAATTTGAAGCGGGTCCATCATGAAATAGATCAGTAATGCTCCTATAGCAACGGGAAATAGGCAATGATACAAACTTATTGACATAGATACAAATTATGCTGTTCTTTTCCACAGAAAAATGTTGACCATTAAAAAAAAAAAAAGCCCCCCACTTTAGAGATGGTGTTGGTGTTGAGTGAGGGAATGGTAAAGCCTTTTTCCTCCCGATGCTGCTTTCATGCTCATCTGAGCTTTGGTTTTGCACCTTGTTTTCAGCAGTTGTGTAATGAAAATAGTAACTTAAAATGAGAGACCCCCACCATGGCATAAGTAAGTATTTTAACCTGTGCTTTATTTAAGGAGAAAACTCAAGTCGGCATGGCCACATTTTGGAGTATAAGAGAATGTGTATTTTTTGGTAACTTATGCAATCAGTATAAAATGGAACAAAAAGGCTCCATATTCTTGCGGTGTCCCATTTTCTTGGTGTTACTGAAGTGTTTGGGGAAAGAAGTCCAGGATCTAGTCCTAAAACTTTTAAATAAACAGATGCTTAACAGCTGTATGAAAAATAGTGTATCTTAGGAACTAATGTGAAGTTGTGATAGAGGGTTATTTTCTGGAAGTATATTGTGAAGCAGGAATATAAATTTTTTAAATAGGCCTTTGAAGGCTACAATAACTTTTAAGTACTTAAAACAAACAAACAAAAAAAAAAAAAAACAAAACCACAACCCCATAAATTTTTTTTAGAACCTTTAGAGCTGTAAAAACCATGGTGGTATTAAGCAAAAGAGAGGCTCTAGAATGCATACATTATATATAGATAAATCCCTGCACAAGAAAGTAAGTTCATTTGTTTTACCTTTCTAGCATATAAACTGTTTCCTCTTTGCTCCATTTGATAGTCATCCCTTCATTTATTGCCGCTATTATAATAGCGGTAATGTGTAGGATTAAAATGAAAGCACTAAAGCTCATTAAGTTCTTGGAATTTTTTTTATCCCTTCTCTCAAAATTACATGAAAACAAGAGAGAGAAAAATAAAAGCAGGTCTCTTTGGAGAAGACGACACTGTTTCAAAAATGTGGATTAAGACTGTACCCCCCACTCCCTTTTCTAAACTTAGAATAGTTTTCTTCAGGTTTTGATTGTTTGATATCTCGCACTTCCCTTTTATAGCTCAAGCCATAAAGGCCTTTGAAGGCTAAAAAAACTTTTAAATACTTAAAAAAAAAAAAAAAAAAAAAAACCAAAAAACCACAACCCCATAAATTTTTTTTAGAACCTTTAGAGCTGTAAAAACCATGGTGGTATTAAGCAAAAGAGAGGCTCTAGAATGCATACATTATATATAGATAAATCCCTGCACAAGAAAGTAAGTTCATTTGTTTTACCTTTCTAGCATATAAACTGTTTCCTCTTTGCTCCATTTGATAGTCATCCCTTCATTTATTGCCGCTATTATAATAGCGGTAATGTGTAGGATTAAAATGAAAGCACTAAAGCTCATTAAGTTCTTGGAATTTTTTTTATCCCTTCTCTCAAAATTACATGAAAACAAGAGAGAGAAAAATAAAAGCAGGTCTCTTTGGAGAAGACGACACTGTTTCAAAAATGTGGATTAAGACTGTACCCCCCACTCCCTTTTCTAAACTTAGAATAGTTTTCTTCAGGTTTTGATTGTTTGATATCTCGCACTTCCCTTTTATAGCTCAAGCCATAGCTGAAAACAATGTTTTTGCATATCAAAGGCTCCAGTGATCTGTCTACAGAGAAGAAGGGAATCCTGCTGCCATGCTCCAACTTTCCCCTTCTTGAGCTGTCTCTAAATATTCCCTGACATCAAGTCATTATAGCTGATCCGGCAGGATGAAAAGAAAAGTGACCCCCACTGATACAGACACTGTGTCCAGGTTTCTGCAACATCAAATTGGGAGGCTTCATGGACACATGGTTTTGAAAGAAACCATTACTTTTGAACAGAGCAGATTTGAG